ACAATCTACCTCAACATACGAAATGGAATACTACTACTCTGGGGCAGAAATCCCATGGTGGCTGTCACCAGGGAAGAAGCACTCGGATGTGCCAAAGATTACCGATGGATGAATCTGGCTTCGTTTGCTTACGACTGGCTCGCGCGAAATGGCTACATCAATCACGGCTGCGTGGAGGCTCCATTGGCCCCGGTGAAACCCAAACGCGGAAGACGAAAGGAAGGACCTACAATTGTTGTAATCGGTGCTGGAATGGCAGGTCTGGGCTGTGCACGTCAACTGGAGAGTCTTTTCCGCCAGTATCGTGATTCAAATACCTTGCCTAGAGTCGTTGTCCTCGAGGGACGTCGAAGAGTCGGTGGACGCATTTATTCGCATCCATTGAACAGTCTCAAGTCGGAAAGTCTACCTGATAGCCTTGTTCCAAAGGCAGAAATGGGTGCTCAAATTATTGTCGGCTTCGATCATGGTAACCCGCTGGACCAGATAGTTCGTGGCCAGCTGGCACTTCATTATCACAAGATACGAGATGTTTCGACGATTTACGATGTTGATGGATCACCCGTGAATGAGGTACAGGACGCGATGGCAGAGAAACTCTACAATGATTTGCTAGATCGAACCGGATTCTATCGCCACAAAGCAAAGATTGCGCCAACCGCCGAGGGAAATCGCGAGATGATCGATGCTGGCCGCGAGTCAATGGTGGATGACGGACTCACTGTGCGACAGTACGAAGAGGCCAGGGCAGCTGGGACAATAGATTTATTGGTCCCAACAAAGCGGGTTCGACGAGGAATAAAGCACAAGACTGCGGAAAATGAGCCATCCGTCGATGTAGCGAGTGATTTAGCGGGAAATTCGGAAGATGACCCCGCAGCTTTGACCTGCCAGACAACTGGATGGAAGCTTAACCCAGGATACACCGTTAACGACACTATTGAACTAGACCAGATTTCCAAAGCATCTCAAGCGCAGACTCTCGGTGCAGTGATGGATGAGGGTGTCAAACAGTATCGAAACATGCTTCCGGTGACTACCAAGGACATGCGACTGATGAATTGGCACTTCGCCAACCTCGAGTACGCGAATGCAACCAACGTGAACAGACTTAGCCTATCAGGATGGGACCAGGATATCGGAAACGAGTTCGAGGGTGAACATTCCCAGGTCATTGGTGGTTACCAGCAACTCCCCTACGGGCTGTATATGCTACCAGAAAAGCTCGATGTCCGTACTGGCAAGATTGTCACCAATATCTCTTACGACACAACTGGGTCCAACAAGAAACAGAAGGCAGTTGTGCAGTGCGAGGATGGAGAAAAGTTCCTGGCAGATCATGTCGTCTTCACCGGTTCCCTCGGGGTCCTGAAGCAGCAGAAAATCAAGTTTGAGCCTCCTCTTCCGGACTGGAAGCGTGGCGCAATTGATAGACTGGGATTCGGAATAATGAACAAGGTCGTGTTAGTATTCGAAGAGCCTTTCTGGGACACCAAGCGAGATATGTTTGGCTTACTCCGTGAGCCAAATGACCCTACTTCTATGGTCCAAGAAGACTATGCGGCAAACCGTGGTCGATTCTATCTGTTCTGGAATGTCATGAAGACCACCGGACTCCCATGCTTAATTGCCCTCATGGCTGGTGATGCAGCCCACCAAGCAGAATCTACACCCGACGAAGAAATAATTACGGAGGTCACTGGCCAACTTCGAAACGTCTTCAAACACACTACAGTTCCCGATCCTCTGGAGACTATCATCACTCGGTGGGGCAAGGACCCATTCACATACGGCAGCTACTCCTACGTGGCTGCGGCAGCCTTCCCAGACGACTATGATTTGATGGCCCGGTCAATTGGCAACCTGCACTTCGCCGGCGAAGCCACCTGCGGAACCCACCCAGCAACTGTCCACGGAGCATACCTCTCAGGCCTTCGCGCGGCATCAGAAATAATCGAGCCGATATCCGGACCCATCATAATGCCTCACCCACTGGTCCCAGAGAAGTCAAAAGTAACCCGAAGCAAATCCTCCACGCCGAATGGCGCAACCGCCAAGAAAACAAAAACCAGAGGCAGCTCATCCCTGTCCTCCATCGAAAGTCCAACAATCACCCAACCGAAACCCCCCTCAACCTCCACCTCCCGCAAACCAACCTCAACCGAAAAGTCCCGCCGCGACGCCTACGACCAAGCCCTATGGACGACAATCTACGCCGAACTCGGCTCCGCACCACCACGCCCCGCAAAATCAGGCTTAAACCCCTTCCTTTTCTACCAAAAGGACTATTGGGCTCGCTGCCGCGATCAATGCGACGAAGCCCGCCGCGCATCATCAAACAATCCCAACGCAAAGGCTCCTCGCGATGAGATCCGTGCCGCGCTGGGCCAGATGTGGCGCTCTGCGACCCCAGCTGAGAAAAAGCCCTACCTCGATCAGACGGAGATTAACCGCCATGCTAATGCCGAGGCTTGGGATAAGTGGAAGGTTGATGTCGCCGAGTGGGAACGGAAGACTTTCGTCGTTAAGGATCGCTGGTGTTCGGAGAACCCGTTTGACGATTGGGTTATGCCGGACTATCTTGCTGAAAGTGCGTCGTCAGTGCCCGTGCTTGCTACTGCCTTTACGACTGCTGAGACTGCTTTGAAGTCTGAGAAATGAAGATTTATCGACTTATTACGGCGGTAGGTAGACTATCTGTGTCGATGACAGTTAGAGGGAAGTCAGAGACGTGCTGTTATGAGTAGCGTTTCAGTCTTAATTGATATCGACGAATGTCAGTTTTAATTAAAATGGTCCTTTGTAGCCAAGAGAACTTCGTAAAGGTATGGGACATGATATGGGGGCTTCTCCTTTTCTTCTATTTCTATCTCTATGGGTATAGCATCCCAAGCAGATAAACTGATATAAAACCACAAAGACCACTTAATTTCCTCTTCCATGAGACATGGACAAAAGGAACAGGGAACAACAAGAAAAAAAGATGTAAGGAAATCCCATCGAAATATGCACCGGGAATTTAGAAATGAGATATCGCATAAAACAGATGTAAGTCTAGAAGCAAGAAGAATCCTCAATACAAGGGCCAAACATCATGTTTTCATGTATCATGACGAGAAATAAGAGGGAAAAGTGGGAAAAGAGGCGTGTGTATGTATTTAGAGAACGGGCTTGGCCTCCTCGTGAGTTTCAGTCTCGGAGAGGAACTTCTCGGCCTCGAGGGCAGCGACACAGCCAGATCCTATTAGAATATTGAGTTAGTGAAATGCAATTACGATAATGGAAATACTGAAGTATGAACATACCGGCACTGGTGATAGCCTGGCGGTAACGCTTATCCTGAACATCACCGCAAGCGAAGACACCCTCGACGTTAGTGAAGCTGGTACCGGGCTTGGTGACGATATATCCCTCATCATCGAGCTCAACCTGGCCCTTAACGAGAGCATTGGCGGGGTCGTGTCCAACAGCGTAGAAGAGACCGTTGGCATCAACGACCTCCTCCTCGTTAGAAATAACGTTCTTGACACGGAGGTGAGTCATGAGGCCGTTAGGCTTAGCCTCACCGATAACCTCGGTGGCGACAGTGTTGAAGCGGACCTTGCACTTGGGGTGAGAAAGGAGACGATCGGCCATGACCTTAGAGGCACGCAGCTTATCCTTGCGAACGAGAACAGTCACGCTGCTACCGTACTTGGCGAGGAACATGGCCTCCTCAGCAGCGGAGTCACCACCGCCAATGACGTACAGGGGCTTGTTACGGAAGATGGGGACGGCGCCATCGCAGACGGCACAAGCACTGATTCCATTTTGCCAGTAGGTCTCCTCGCCGGGGAGGTTCAGACGACGGGCGTTGGCGCCTGTGGCGATGATGACGGCGTCGGCAGTGCGGACGGGCTCGCTGCCCTCAGCGTCGTTCCACTCGGTCCACATCTTGAAGGGGCGGGATGAGAGATCAAGCTTGGAGATGGTTTCGGTGATGATCTCGGTGCCGAAACGCTCGGACTGTGCGCGCATGTTGTCCATGAGCTCGGCGCCGCCGATGCCGTTGGGGAATCCGGGGAAGTTCTCGACGTCGGTGGTAGTTGTGAGCTGACCACCGGCGGCGGTACCGTTGGCGAGCATGCCCTCGTAGAGGACTGGCTGGAGCTCTGCGCGCGAAAGGTAGATAGCGGCGGTGTGGGCACCAGGGCCGGAGCCGATAACTGTAGGGGGAAGTGGTTAGGAGTCTGATATGGAAGGCATTTGGATGATCCGGATCATTCGATCCTAAGAGACCACTTACTGACTACTTTAGAGTGAACCATTCTGGCGGTGTTGGAATTGACGCGCAACGGCGTCGGGAACGACTTAGAGAAGACCGAGGCCGGAGGAGGAGATTGTTGATGAACGGTAGTGGCCGCAGCGGCAGTCAATCCAATGGACCGAAGGGAAGGAAAACGACGAAAGGCGGAGGAAAACAGCTTGAAGGTGTTTATGGGAAGTAGAGGGGAAGAGGAGGGGGGGGGGAGATATAATATCTTTTCTCGGAGGGGCAGTGGAGACCGGGATTAGGTGAAGTTGATTGATAAACCGGTAAAGATCAGAGAGACTGGAATAGAATGCGATTGGATTCTTTGTCTTTCTAAGGTTTCCAGACCTCACAAGATTAGAGATGATTTGTTTGAACGAGACAATTTAAGGCAATTTAGGGCAATTTCAATGCAATTCAAAGCTGAATTAGAGCATCGAGGCTCCGGGGCTTTCTAAGCACAGATCACGTGAGAGGTCGAGACCGCTGATGTAATCTCATCGCATCACCTGAGGCGCTTCCTCCGGTCCGAATTTGTATACTTCGGCTTTACTTGATTTTGATAGGATAAATATGAAAAACATATCGGGTTGAACCTCGCTGAATTTAGGGGAATCATCTGTCAAACAAAACACAATACAAATCATCAGATCGCAAAATGAATATGTCACAGCCAACATCACCGACACAATAATGTCAATATGGTACATTAGATTACGCCGAACCACTTCTTCTTTCGTGGACGGCTATGCTCCTCGGGACTGGGGGAGTGTTCAGCCATCATTTGCGGTGGTAGACGTTGAGGGACCTCGCCCTCAGAGTCATAATCCTCCTCACTCCCAGGATATCCCTCGTACTGTGGCTGATGTTGTTGGCTAGTGGCGGCGTTAGCGCGGGTATTATTGATAAGGTCGTGGTCCTCGTAATCGTCTTGGTCGTCATCATCACTGTAATCTTCTTCAGCTTCCGGTCGTGCATCTGCTCCCGCCTCGTTCTTTTTGCGGCGCGGCAGGAACTTTCTCCAACCCTTGACAATCTGCGCTGGGGGAGGGTCATATTCGGTCCCGTTGTAGTACAGTGCGGGAACGAGCAATTTGTAGGGTGTGGTGACGCCCGATGGGTCTTGTGGGCTGATCTCGAGGTTTAAAGTAATGGCAAGGCCGCCTTCGAGGTTGATGTAGGCGCCTGCGCCGTCATCGCCCTGCTTGGCGGCTTTCTTTGCCGCTTTTTGGCTAAGATTCGTTGGTCGCCGGTGGAAGTTACCAGGTCGTGGAGGTGCCCCAGACCCGATCCCTGGGAAATAGCTGTCCCCATTCTCGTGGGGCTGAGCAGGCCCATCAACGCTTGCACGTCGATTGAAGGCAGCCTCGTCGCCTCGATTGAAACTCATAGTCCTCGTAGGAGGTGGTCCACGGGTGGAAAGTCGCCTGAGAATGCCAGGCTTCCCGGTAGACTCCTTGTCTCCGCGACCCAGGGACAATGTTCGCTGCAGCTTCTTTGGTCGAGGTTCTGGAGTCTCTATCTCAGACTCAGGTGTATCAGGTGGGGTAGATCCGGGCTTATATTCACGGATTGAACACCAGTTTCGCCGAGGTAGCAATCGTTTGTTGTTTCGGGCCTTGCCATTCACATCCTGGACAAAGATGGGGACGACATCTTCCTCTGTGTTCGAGTCCATGTGATGGACTGTATTCCGCTTGTTGAGCATATCCGCAATGAGATCGGTCTCCGGAATGTCTGCAATAGCAGATGAGATGACATTTGGCATATATCGGTAATCCTGGTCTTTGGCGATATTCAATTTGGGATTCGAATAGAACTGCCCAATTGCCGCGAGGTGGACATCACCACTGAAAGATTAGGTTAGTTTTCATCGCTTGGAATCTGGGTTGCCGTTAAGCAAATTGCCTGGTTTTACCTGAGTATTGTGATCCGGACTGATTTTTCTGCGGCCAGATCCTGAAGATCCTCAACCAACCATGTGCGCTCGGACTTGAGGTGCTTGCCAGCCCAATGGTCATCAAAAACCTCCACGTTTCCGCCAGATCGATTTACAAGTCCACCAAGTACTCCAGCCTTGCCGAGTGACTTGCGGCTGTTCATAAAATTGCGGAGCATCGCCTAGAATTAATGTCAGTAAAAGGTTCGACCAAAGACAGAAACAATCAGATTACATACCACTCGGGGGTAAGCAACAGGAACACTTGAAAGGACGATCAAATGTTTCGTCTCTCCTTTCATGATCTCCCTGTGGCAGCGGTCCCACAATAAATCACAGGTCTCTTCGCTGAGAACCTCATTGCTCTGCAAGAATAGGTCAACATTGTCCACGAGTCGGAAAATTAGAGTAATCATACCCGTCGTTCAGTGCGGCAGTCAAGGCCCAAGAATGAAACTCCTTGGCCAAGAGACATGAACAAGTTTCGGCTTTTCTGCTCAATATATGGACCGGGATGAGCACCAAGGAGCCAGCTGGGTTCATCTGCCTCAGTTTCATCGGGAACACTGTGGTGCTGGAACAGCATGTAATACTTGAAAGCAATCTTGCCAATTCCGGATATAACAGAACTCTGCATGAAATCGTTGTGGTAGGAACCAAAACCTTCAAAGATTTCATGATCGTTCCAAATGTTGATCGTGGGAATCTGAGAGTTCGCCAACGAGAAGAGGCCCTGGGAGAACCACGCAGCATAGCGCTCGAGGTAGAACTGCTCCAATTCAGCACGGAACTCTGGTGTGAATGACGCCCCATATCTATCGGCAGCGTTTTTAATCTTAATCCATTCTTGGAAGAAGGTTGACTCTGTGATAACCGAGTCATTAAAGATTTGATCGCCTCCACCGATCATCACATGGAACGGACGAGTCTGATGCTCATTTAGAATATCTCGCCAAAGAGGGTCGGGCCCGCAGACTCGATCAGAGTCCACAGAGGGGCTGAACCCGTTACCACTGTGGAACATTATGTTCATGGATTCTCCAACTGGGGGCACCCAGAATCCCAAGGCAGGTCCCTGGTTGATCCGATAGGCGATTCGCTGTTGCTTTGTGCTGAGTTCAACCTCTAGGTTGAATCGCCAGAATGTTACATCTCTTGCAGCATCGGCGTACAGACGGGCTCCTGGAATGTCTCGGTGCAGATCCGCCATCTCGCCATCGAAGGCATGCATCCGGTTGGAAGGCATCGGCTGTTTGAGGCCTTCGATGGTATAGTCGATCATGCTAGGGGAGAGCTCGTAGATACCATCGTCGTTCTCGACAAATGATAGGTCGACTTGCTCCTCGACATGTTCCACTGGCTTCACGTAAAGGGGCCGCCCATCACGACCAACCTTCATGAGCCCGGCCGCTGGGTCGACATATTCAGGGGCCAGTTGCACTCCATCTTCCTGGCTAATCTCCACGGGGGGAGGAGGAAGAAGATCCATCGGCTGAGAGAATAGTCTCAGTGTAGGTGGAGTGTCGTAGGAGGAGCGAGAATCTTTAGTCACTATCATGATAGAGCCTCGCCATATCTCTTTGTAAATGGGGCCACTGGCTCCACTAACCTGGACTCGCTTGATGCCAGTGTATCGTAGCAAAGGCCCACATCGCAAAAAGAGGCTGGGTTGGAAGCTCTTGTGGTCAGTCACTCCTAGTGGGCGTTAGTAAATGCATTTCGGTGATTTCGGTGACAAGAAATGTAGCTTGGAAAGGATAACGGAGGATCTTACCTGTCAACTTTTGAGCAGGAGACTTGTAGTTCTTCGGAAGAGCCCTGCTCTTTCTGCGATCTTTGTTACCACCACCTTCCCACCATGCTTTGCTGCGCTCCATATCAATATTTTGGAAATCGAAGTCGGGGGCCGCAAGCCGAGCAGCCTGTGCATTCCTCCACTCGAAGATTGGTGGGGGGTAGGTGGTGGAACATTGAAAGATACAGATTGTTTCTTGGGCTTGGTCTGCGACTCGGCACTATCCTGAGGCGCACGGGGTGCTGTTAAAAGTTCATCTGTTGTCTCCGCTTTTAGGGTAGGGGGAGCTTGCATAGGTCGAGATGCTTGAGACATCGAGCGACCGTGGGCGATATTACTGGGACGTGCTTGTTTTGTGGCAGGCACGCTCACCGTGACTGATCGTCTAGGGACATTACCTATCCTAGCTGACGATGGGACAGCAGCTTCTGCACTTGTGTATTGGGGATCCTCGGGGCGGCGAATATATGGATGTTGAGGATTCGTTGAAACTGTCCTGTTGTGACGCGCAGCTGTGCTTTCTGGTCGTCGCTGCTGTGGTGGTGCAGCCGCATGCCCATTTCGTATGCCATCCCCAATTGGAATTTCTCCCCGCTCATTCCTTCTTGGTGCGCTGGCGGGTGGTTGACTTTCTGGCTGCGCGCGCTGTGCTGACACTGCTGCCATCGATTCGGCCTTTTCTTTTTCGGCTTTTTTGCGCGCAATTCGCTCTCGGGCTTTGATTTCTGCCTCCTGTACTCGTGCCCGCTTCTCTTCCTTGCTGATTCCAGTCAAAGTTACTTCCAACTTTTGAAGAGGCGATCGTTCTGGTGCCCTTTCTAACCGCGCGCCACTGGCGGAGACGGAGCGTGTGGTATTGGACCGAGCCGGAGGCGAAGATACACTCGATGCAGGTGGTGACTGGACATAAATCTCAGGCATGCCTGCACTGGGTTCTGGAGAATAGGGTTTTGTGGGAAGACCTCGCGGTGTGGTAGATTCCTCTGACAATCCTTCCGTCGATGAAGGAACTGGCTTGCGGGCTGTATAGTTCATGTTTCCCTCGGGCTGGTTTCGGGCTCTGGCCGAGAAAGACCTATCTAGCTGCTCTGACGGATGGACATCCCTTCTGTGAGGCGTTTTCGGGTCGTCATATTGCTCTTCGTAGCTTTCGGAAGGAGCCTTTCTGCGATTGCGCCTTCCTGAAGCTCTTTGCGCTCCGTTGGCAATGTGGGGGTTGGAACTGCCGTTTGCCATATCGGGCGATCCACGAATTGCCATAGCCGCCATGCTGTGTATTTGCGCCCAAACTCAAAGGAAAAATGCGTAGACAGGATGCCAAGTATGTGCAATTGCAAACCTAACTGGAAGTATGGTTAATGTCGGTCCCAAGGGCAATCTGAGCAGATTTAGGGGAAATTCCCGTACGTAGTTTTTCTCGAAATAGATGAAATGGATTTTAATGCGACTTGATCTGATGCCTAACGCAGGGTCACCATATCATGGCCTGAGCTGATTCGCAACCAGCCAATGTTGGGTATATGTCAACACGGCGGTGACAGGGAAGTCGGCCGGGTATAAAAGGAAAAACACTAGAATGTGGGTGTCAATGGGATAGATGAAAAGAAAAGAAAAGAAAATCGAAAGATTTCAATAAAATCCAACCAGGTAAGGCCTATACCTCCGATATCCCGGTGGCTGGTTATCCCCAGCCTTCGCGCGGGGCTGTCATACGAAGGCTGTGTCAAGGGCTCCAATACTGCAGGATTATTATTAGGACAACTATCGAATATAGAAGTATAGAAATAGAAGGAATAAAGAATATAATTAAGAAAACGATTCTTAAGTACGGGGACTGGAATGAGCTATTGTTAGAATCTGAACCTATGTAACGATACAAGGGCTTGGATGGGAATGAACGTTTACCTAGAGACACATAAATAACATCCAGAGATATATAACATTCAGAGACACATAAAATTCAGAGACACATAACATTCATTGATATATAAAGACGAGGTTCGGTTGGCCTATATCGGGTGCGATATAAGTAGATTTCAGTCCAGGCTAATACTTGCAATCTTACGCATAAAGTTATGAAAAGAGAAAACCAAATGTCAATGCAAGGACTTTTGAATTCATAGAATAACCGAATAAATTCCAATAATATGATATTCCGTGTTAAACACATGTCGATCGCTACGTATGCCCATGGCCGGGGTCCACTACCTACGTAACTAAGCTGTGCATCTAGTTAGGTAAGGTAATATGCAGAGTAGAAACCGTGGCCTTACGCTCCAAAACTTCTTTCATTAATAAAAAAGAAGAAAAAAAGGCGTTCCAAGGCTTGTCCGAATAAACTTAGTCAAGCTCAATCGAGACTCAATAGGATCCCGTGTGGGTGGCCTCTGACGATCCTCCTATTTTGCCTGGAACTTTATATCCCGCATTATTACAACTTCCTCTTAACAACTAATTATTGGAACTTTGGAAATAACATCTTGAAGCTTACTTCTTCTTTCACTTACATCCCCTTACCACAACTCATCTTGCTCTTGCTATCCAACGGTCCGGAACTGTCGATGGCCCCCGCCCGCTAGATACCTCGAATCCCAACCCTACCTTGATCTCTTTCGAAAACAAATCGATTCATCATCATGCGCATTGTCAGTGGCATCACCGCTACTCTAGGCCTTGCTGGTGCCGTGTCCGCAAACCTACACCCTCGCTCTCAAGAGACCCGTGACTTCTTCGCCCTCCACCTTGACGAGACCACCTCTCCTTCCCACATCGCACAGGTCCTAGGGGCACGCCACGAGGGCCAGATTGGCCAACTAGATGGTCACCACACTTTCTCATTACCGCGTGAAGAGACGGCTCAGTTTGACACCTTGTTGAATGATTTACGAACCAGGCGAAAGCTCCGGAGGCGGGACGGAATCGATGAGCGCGGGACAAGTGATGATCCCCTAGACAAGATTTTGTGGTCGCATAAAATTGCACCGGCACGACAACGATTGCAGAAACGACTTCCGCCAGTCTCTGTACCCTACAAATCGCTGGACAAGAGGAAGGAAAATGCGCAGGTTGTTGCTTTCCAGAAGGAGGCCATGTCATCTCTAGGGATCACCGACCCGATCTTCAGAGAACAATGGCACCTTGTCAACACATTGCAGCCCGGACACGATCTTAATGTGACAGGGGTGTGGTTGGAGGGGATAACTGGCAAGGGCGTTGCCACTGCAGTTGTCGACGATGGGCTGGACATGGATAGCAACGATCTCAAGCCCAACTACTTCCCAGAGGGCTCCTGGGATTTCAACGAGAACCTCGCAGAACCCCGCCCTCTTCTGCTTGACGATAAGCATGGTACTCGATGCTGCGGCGAGATTGCAGCGGCAAAGAACGATGTTTGTGGAGTCGGTGTTGCGTACGATAGCAAGATAGCCGGGATCCGGATCTTGTCCAAGCCTATCGATGATGTCGATGAAGCGGCGGCTATTAACTGGGGATACCAAAAGAATGACATATATTCATGTTCATGGGGCCCCATCGACGATGGTGCTACTATGGATGCGCCTGGAATCTTGATCAAGCGAGCCATGACCAACGGTATCCAAAAGGGCAGAGGGGGTAAAGGCTCGGTCTATGTCTTCGCCGCCGGTAACGGCGCAGCCTACGGGGACAACTGCAACTTCGATGGGTATACCAACAGTATCTACAGTATTACAGTCGGTGCCATTGACCGGGAAGGAAAGCACCCGAGTTACTCCGAGTCATGCTCGGCCCAACTTGTGGTCGCATACAGTAGCGGCTCCGGTGATTATATTCACACTACCGACGTGGGTGCTAACAAGTGCTTCGCTGGACACGGTGGCACCTCTGCGGCTGGCCCGCTGGCCGCAGGTAGCGTGGCGCTCGCCCTCAGCGCACGCCCGGAGCTCACCTGGCGTGATTTGCAATACTTGATGGTGGAGACGGCGGTCCCCGTGAGCGAGGACGACGGTAGCTGGCAGGTCCTGCCCTCTGGCCGCAAGTTCAGCCATGACTGGGGTTTTGGAAAGGTCGACACATACACCATGGTCCAGCTTGCTAAGACTTGGGATCTCGTGAAGCCGCAAGCGTGGCTCCACACCCCATGGCTTCGAGTGCACCAAGACATTCCCCAGGGTGATCAAGGTCTGCTCAGTCGGTACAAAGTAACCGCTGATCAATTGAAGGAGGCCAATATGGCCAAATTGGAACATGTCACTGTAACCATGAACGTTAACCACACCCGCCGCGGTGATATCAGCGTTGAGATGCACAGCCCCGCTGGAATCGTCAGCTACCTAAGTGTTTCCCGCGAAAAAGATGACGTGGCGCTTGGGTATGAGGACTGGACTTTCATGTCTGTTGCTCATTGGTATGTATTGCTTTTTGAGCCCCACGACATATGCCTTTGCTAATTTATTATTAGGGGTGAATCTCCTATTGGCGAGTGGTCCATCATTGTGAAAGACACCAATGTCAATGATCGCTCTGGCACATTCATTGACTGGCGACTCAATCTGTGGGGTGAGGCCGTCGACGGAGCTAAACAAAAGCTTCACCCCCTGCCCGATGAGCATGACGACGATCATCCCTACGAGGATGCCCCTGTAGCCACGACTAGCATTACGCCGGCTCCAACAAAGACCGCAGCCCCTGCCAATCCGGACGACCACCACGACCGGCCCGTGAACGCAAAGCCCTCAGCCACGAAGCCTACGGCGGCACTTGCAGATGAGAAGAAGCCCACCAGCACTACCGGTAGTGAAGCTGAAACCCCGTCCCCTTCCTCCACCGATTCAGGCTATATATCCTCTTACCTTCCCACTTTTGGTGCTTCGAAGCGTACACAAATTTGGATTTATGCATCCTTGGCCATGATCATTACCTTCTTCATTGGATTGGGTGTCTACTTCCAGTTGCAGAGAGTCAAGCGTCGTCGCACCACTGCTCGCGACGATTATGAATTTGCAATGGTTGAGGATGAGGATGAGACCCAACCGATGACTGGAGTATCTGGTCGAACACAGCGTCGTGGCGGTGAACTTTATAATGCCTTCGCCGGAGAGAGTGACGAGGAAATGTTCAGTGACGATGACGATGAGCCTTATCGTGATGGGTTGGCCAATATTCAGGAAAAGGGCGGCGAAGATGGAACGTCCGACGATGGCTCCCTTCGGGAAAAATCTTAATCTAATGTCGATAGTCATGTTGTCGATATGCTATATTGATTTGGTTCGAGATAGGTCACTAGGAATAGACGGGGTAGAGATACTAGGGTCTGTTTGTATGTCTACCGTTTGGCAGGAATCCAAAAGCATGCTGTGCGTACAAGATAATTTCAGATGTGAAGCAATTCTCAAGGAATCACTAGAATAATGAAGACAAATAATAGCAAAGACTGTTGATTCTAATAATAAAGCGATGATGACGTTCCGCTTCGGGAACTCCGCCCTGGGGAACGGCGATCATCGAACTCAGCTCCAACCTCCAACCTCCAAACTTCCCCCCCTCCATTCCACCTCTTTGGCCCTTTCAGTCCCTATCACTCTTGATCAAACATTTTCTGCAAATATTAATTTCTTGGCATTACTGGGGTTTCAACAACTATCAGCGGGTTGACCAACGGCCGACCGACCCCCCGCGATGGATCAACATGACGACTTTGATAGTGTGTCTTGGAAGCACGATCCAGACAGTGATGTCTCACGGCCGACAACTGCAAGTACAGATGCCGCAGAACCAAGTGAAACTCACCCCGACACCAATGGCAAGCGGAGAATGAGTTCCGCCCAAGAAGAGCCCCAAGCCGGCCCGCTAGCCGACGCCGTCGACCTGGCGGGCATCGGCGATGGCGTTCTTGAGTGCCAAGTTGACTCCCCACTCAAAGAAAATGATGGGACAAAAGATGCATATATCTCGTACCTGGTTACCACACATGTATGCTTCTTCTTTGCATATACTGTCGGGGAGTAGAGGTGCAGCTGCTGCCTAGACCTCTCGACATCTGTATCTCCAACGGACCATGACTGACATATTTAGACCGACTTCAAATCATTCCAGAAGCCCGACTTCACTGTTCGGCGGCGCTTCACCGACTTCTACTTCCTATACAAGACTCTCTATCGCGAATACCCGGCATGCGCGGTGCCGCCGCTCCCGGACAAGCACAAGATGGAGTACGTGCGGGGAGACCGGTTCGGGACGGAGTTCACAACGCGACGAGCTTGGTCGCTGCATCGATTTTTGAAGCGTCTGAC